CTATTTCATGCCAAAAGAACACCCTTAAATTTTTATCAAAAAATATTAAGATTTAGGGGTCACTGTTAAACGATTTTTAAATCAAAGTTATGATTTTCCTTGATACATGTTTGATTTGATGCAAAAATGACTTAATCCGGAGTTTGAATGTACTGTATGTTTTTTTGGTCGCTGAATTACAATAATTTATTTAACTCTACGCCTTAAGAAATATAGTCCTATTAATGTGAAAAAATGATCAAATTTTGAGTTAAAAGTCGATTTTAGCAAGATTCCAAGTATTCAAATGAGTCGTTACTCTCCTCAAATTGTAGGTCTGTTCACCCTGAAAAAATCCAGTTAGAATTTTCGCGAGATCTCCTACGGACCTTTAAAAATTATACTTAACTGGATTACAAAATGTTTTTAAGGATAAAAAAAATTTTTTTAAGTTCTAAAGTATATAGCTTTGTGATTTTGATGTTTTCAAATCAAATGCCTCAATTTTATAATAAAAAACCCTTTATTAGAAAATAAAATGCGTACATAATACAAAAAAAATATGATTTAATTAATTGAAATAAACTATATATATATCAAATAAAGACAAAAGTCTTCCATCGTGTTCAAAACAGAACAGAGCGAATATTGAAACAATTTGCAAGATTTTAATAATATAAAAATTTGCAAGATTTAGTACGGAAATGTGTTGTCCGGAAATTTATTTGTGTTATAAAATAATGTGACACAAGGGTATATGAGCAAAAGCTGGATTAGTTACTAAAACAAAATCATATAATATTTTAAATTAAATTAAATAAAACAAACATTTCGATCTTACGATTATCAATGTACCGGTAAATATAAAAATAGTTCCGTAAAAATAGTTCCGTAATAAATTCGCAAGTTGAACAATTAATATTCTAACGACTATGAATACATATAATTAATCTAGTTATATAAAATAACACGTAATTATAAAATTCAATGTACAAAACCTGTTCCCTCTTTTCACCCCATCAATGTCACTCGGTGCATACATAATTGACGTCGAACAATTAGCTTAGTTTTAAAACTAGCTATCCCAATGCAATGATCATCATGACGTCTTTATTAGAAACTTAAGATAAGAGATATACATATACAGTAGTGTGAAAATTATAAGTATATAATACAATAAAAGATAGAAGTGTCGAATTTTTTGACTCTATGAGTATATAGTATAAATGTTGTATTATAAAAACTAAATCAAGTACATTATAACTATAAGAATGAGTCAAAATTGTCATAAGCAATAAATACCTTCTAGAAATGTCCATTGCAATCGGATGGATTTATTTACCAGATAGCCAAATCTGAAGAGACAGATTTTGAGCAGAGTCTGCTACTAATTTCTGATAGCAAAAAGGCAACAATTGTACACAAAGTTTGTACTATCAGACAATGTTAGCAAACTGCTGTAAAAAATATTATAAAACCTGATGACATGCTATGCCAGCAAATTGGTGATAGAAATCGAACAGAGTCTGCTGCATAACCTGACAGCAGAAACTGAGCAGAGCCTGCTGATATAACCTGACGGCAGATTGGAAGCAGAAACCAAGAAAGATCTGCCATTCTCATATACGATTTCGCTATAAGATGGGCTTGCTTCTAATAAGAAGAAAACGTCCAGGAGTTCTATAAGAATTGGCATATGTAAATCGAATAGGCGAATCTCCTAGAGATTCCCAAACTCTTTCGGAGTGTGCTTTTTAAATCTCCAAACATTTTTTTGACTATTTTGTAACTTCCTCAAGTGTATTTTGAAATGTGAACCTAATCAATAATATTTTAGCGATAAAACTATATTGCTTTCAGTTTTCACACCAGTATATATAAATGTATAATTGAGAGGCTGGATTCTATGAGAAAATACGTGTGGATTTCACGGAATAAAAATATTGTCCATAGGGTTAATTTTGGACATCGCTTTAATTTCAATTTTGACCATTGATTCTTGTAGAGAATTACATAGCGCATCTTTTTCGTGTTCAAACGATTATAATTACACATAATATGTATAATTATACATAATTGAGGGGCTGGATTCTACGTAGGCTGCTGGAAAAGTTTCTGCAATCTAGTACTTCCAATAGCGCCAACGTTCTGCTACTATCATATCTGTAAAATTAGACGTTTTTAACCTATAATTCAATTGACAGTTTGTACCTAAGTCAACTAGTTTTGTTTGCTTAGTATTTTAAAAGAAGTTATTTTATAAGAAAATGGAAATTTCGCGTGAAAATTTTCGGGCAATGATTTTTTACGATTACAAATGTAATCTAACTCCGAAACAATGCATCGATCGACTTCATTTGGCTTTTGAGGATGAAGCACCATCCAATAGGACTGTTTATAATTGGTTTGCCGAATTCCAGCGTGGACGTACCGTTCTTAGTGATAAATTCCATGAAGGTCGTCCATCCACGTCTGTTGTTGCCACTAATGTTGATGCTGTGCATGAAATGATTGAGCGAAACCGGCATATAACATACCGCGAGATTCAGGCATCCTTAGGCATTGACATGAAAGCAATACATACGATTTTGCATGATCACTTGAGCGTACGGAAACTTTGCAGTCGTTGGATCCCACACAATTTGACCAAAGCTCAAAAATAGGCTCGTGTTAAATGAAGCAAAGAAATGCTCAAGAAATTCAACCGAGGTCAGTCAAATTTGGTCTACAACATCATTACTGGGGACGAAACATGGATCTATTCGTATGAACCCGAAAGTAAACAACAATCCACTGTTTGGGTATTTCAAAATGAACCGAAACCAACAAAAGTTGTTCGTTCACGCAGTGCTGCCAAGCAAATGATTGCTTGTTTCTTCGGTTATGCCGGACATGTGACAACCGTGGCTTTAGAAGATCGAAGAACTGTAAATACTGATTGGTATACAACAATTTGTTTGCCAGAAGTCATAAATGAATTGCGTAGAATAAACTGAAATAGTCGCATCATCCTTCATCATGACAACGCCAGCTGTCACACAGTGTCGCACGTCAAACCGTTGATTTTTTATCCAGTAATAATCTCGAATTGATGACTCATTGTCCGTATTCACCTGATTTATCACCTAATGACTTCTTTTTGTTCCCAAACATTAAAAATAAGATGCGTAGTGAGCGATTTGAGTCGCCTGAAGCAGCTGCTGAAACATTTCGCATACTGATTTCTGAGGTTACAGCCTTAGAGTGGAAAAAATGCTTCGAAAATTGGTTCGAGTGTATGCAAAAATGTATCGATCTTAAAGGCGAATACTTCGGAAAACAATAAAGCCATTT